GTCAGTACTTACCACAGTGAGTACTTACTTACTAGTGGTGCAGTCGTTACCTTACCATGGTGAGTACTTACTTACTAGTGGTGCAGTCAGTACTTACCACAGTGAGTACTTATTTACTAGTGGTGCAGTTGGTACTTACCACAGTGAGTACTTATTTACTAGTGGCACAGTCGTTACCTTACCACGGCGAGTACTTATTTACTAGTGGTGCAGTCGGTACTTACCACAGTGAGTACTTATTTACTAGTGGCACAGTCGTTACCTTACCACAGCGAGTACTTATTTACTAGTGGTGCAGTCGGTACTTACCACAGTGAGTACTTATTTACTAGTGGCACAGTCGTTACCTTACCACGGCGAGTACTTATTTACTAGTGGTGCAGTCGGTACTTACCACAGTGAGTACTTATTTACTAGTGTGCAGTCAGTACTTACCACAGTGAATACTTATTTACTAGCGGCACAGTCGGTAACTTACTAGACAGCAGCAAGGACTGAGTTACTAGTGGTGCAGTCAGTACTTAAAAGCAGCATGTACTTGTTTACTAGCAGCGTAGTCATTACCTTACCACGACGAGTACTTATTTACTAGTGGCGCAGTCAGTACTTACAGCAGCGAGGACGCACTTACTAGTGGTGCAGTCAGTACTTTCTACAGCGAGTACTTACCAGTGGCGCAGTCAGTAACTTACTAGACAGCAGTATTGGAAGCCACATGGCTTACCTCGGTTTGACTCTCAGGCACAGTCAGCCCGAAATATGAAAATCCTGACAAGCTGGAGGGTTGGGGAGGGGATGATAAGACCCGTCCGGGGTGCTTCTCTTGCATACACACATGCACACATGCACTCTCTATCATGAATTAAATAAATAAATGAGATGTCAAAGTGAAGGTATTAAAAACCAGAGTTTTTAAGACAATTGGAATGGGTAAATATCACATTTCTATTGAGAGAAAAAAAATCAATATAGAAACTCTCTTTGGTATATCCTTACATGTACTTAGCAATAAATGTTGGCAAAATTTACCCCAAAATAGAACCTTTTATGACTAGTGATATTTTTGGACTATTTTTCATATAATTTTCTATATTTTCCATAATATTTTTTCTAAAATGTGTATATATTATCTTTACAATCCAAAAAAATAAGAAATGCTGGGACCAGCCGTTGGCGTAATGGTTATGTCACTGGACTCCCATGTAGTTAACCGTGGTTCAAGTCC